GAGAGGTCAATAGTCTCTAAAATGCCATTTTACAGTAATCTGCACCCCCCCCTTCACAAAAGCCGCTTTATATTCTCGTCTATATACTATAATTTACGCATCGCAATCGCTCTGCTGCAGAACGAATTAAGTCTGTTTCACAAATATAAAAAATACCCTAAATTGCAACTGCCGAAAAATTACAATGAGCTACTTACAAAATGAACTTAGGAAGATCATCCTCATGACCTATGCCAAATCGTTCGGCGACGTCATCACATTGCACAACGTCAACAGATCCGACATTGACCATACCTCGCAGTCTAAATAATAAATTTCAGTTACGGCCGTCAACTACTTTGCCACTTGATGAGCGTAGGTGCGAGTCACCAGAATCGTAATTTCGATAGAGCACATTTCTTGAATAGTTCAAAGTTAATTTTCTAGACCAAGTACGACTGCATGTTCATTAAACAGACTTAAAGTTTAATTAACCACCGTACCACAGTAAGCGCCAATCGCGTAATAAAAATAAATATCACAGGTCCGTAGATGACGCATCTACCGAAAAACGTAACCTGAAAAATCGTTGGTAGAAATCTACCGCACAAGCCACAAATTTAAAGGCCATACTAATTATAAGCACTAGAGCTGTTTACAATAAGCGTTTAAAATACTTTGAAGAGAGATAGAACTTGGAAAATTCGAATCCCATGAAATTTTCTTTGAAACTTAAGGCCGTTATGACTGAGCAAAAGTCAGAGTCATTCGTAAATTTTTCAAAGAAGTCATTTAAAAAACAAGAATAAATTAAAATACAGAAGTAGACTTTTTATAGATAATCGGTATCAAGGTGCATAGTACATGGAAGGGTCGAATTATATGAACTAGTACAAAGATTACCATCTTGAAGGAAGCGGTATTCGCGGTTATGCCGTATCTGCCAGCCTTAAACATAACGAAACTGGTCTTGATAGCTTCTAACGCCGCTGCCTATAAAATATCCTCCAAGTGCGATGTTGCCACCAGGTCATGGACGCATAGCTGATAACCAGCGGTCTGGAAAGATTATCAGAATAACTCAGAGACCAGGACCTGACTTGGGTTGACAAAACAGACCTAAAGGAAACTGAAGATCCGCTCAAAAGTCTTCTCACGGGGAAACCGCCAACTAGCTGCAGACGCGTTGAAAAGCAAATACAAACAATGTATATCGCGTTGAAGCAGACCTTCTGGTGATAGAAATGTGGCCTTTGCCGCAGTAGTGGAGGTTACCCAATATCAATCTGAAAAGCCATTGCCAAAGGTCGGGCGTCATAAATCCGGCTTACTGTGCTGCCTGAACTCTACTAGTCTTCGATGACAGTGACAAGACAGCAACAACTATAATGGTTTATTCGTAGGACTCGTTTTGTATACAAGGATAACTGCTTAGATAAGGGCCGCACAACCTCTGGTAGTGATAATCCAGTAACTCTATTGTTGGACTAAAGTGTGATTACTAGGGATGGATATTTACCATTAAATTGATTACATTAATAGACAATTCGTGATAAGATTCTACTGAGGAAATTCTATGGAAGTTTCCAGTAAAACTCAAACAAATGGGTTCGATAACTACACTAGTTGCTTGGCAACTAAGCTAGTTAGGTTATTACCTGAAGGCTCATCAAACATACTTGTGCGCCACTGCCTCCCACAACGGAAAGTATGCATCGCCTTGTTTGTTCTCTGGGTTGTAACTGAAACATTAAATCAACGAAAGCAGCAAAGGAAAAGTTTGATTCATACGTACAACATTATGAACCAGCTTCGGGCGCCAACTGGTGGCGAAAAGCTTTTAGTGCGGTCTTCAAAATCGTAGTCCTCTAAGCGCACCGTTGCAATTTCGTCGTGGGATTTCAACCATCGAAGTATTGTCTTGGAGTCTTCGAAATTTCCTAAACAATTGCGTTTAACTGCACTGCACAATCAAAAATTCAGAACCACTGAACAGAGTAAGGAAAGTTACCGTAGTACAGAATAGGACTTTTCCGGCGGAAATAGATCATTGCTGGACTGGACTTTATGCCGAACCTTTTCGCGATGCCGTCGTCGATGCTAACCAGATATGTAACATACGGAATCGAGTCTGGCATCAATGACAATTCATTGAAACGATCCTCCGCAGATGAACATGCCGGACAGAGTTTGTTGCTCTCAACTAAATAAACATCTTTCCTGTAACTTATAAAGGTAATAAAATAGTTTAATGTATCACATTTCAAACTTTTACACGCTCACAAACATTAGCTGTAATCAATCAGAAGGACCTCATTAATAGCGGGATTGACGAATATCACTTTTCAGGTTATGTAAACTATCTTTCACCGAACGAAGTTAACGAAATTTTATCATAATAATTTCTGTATCAAATATTGCATTCTGATGCAATTAAAGACAATTGAATATTCATGTGCCTATCACTTTGACACTCCATAAATTTGTAAACATGTCATCTAATAAGGTTTGTATCTTCCCAAATGTTAGGGTTACGAGATCATGGGCGCTTAGGCATCTGTTACACCTAGAGCAATCTCCACAAACGTGTTCCTTTGTACACGACTGAAAGAAGTTAATAAAGTAAGCCATTACATGTAATGATCATATTTACTTCATTAAATATTTGCGTATACGAGTAGCAGATCGCACTAGACTAAAATAAACCAACGTCATTTACTTCGTCCTAGAAAGAATGTCGCCGAAAACATAACACACCAGCTCACACCCAAAGAGTTGTTCGAAAAAGTTGGAGAAGACTGTTTCAGTAGTGGGCAAACAGGAGCATTGATCTCGATTTAATACTTGGCAAGAAAAATAAACCATTTATGAACTGACCTTTCTCAATTACGATATCAGTAATCCACCATACTTACACAGCACTGAATGCCATAAAGTTGTAGAGGATTTGGTCTCACATCATTAGAAACCAGCGACATGGAGTGTGCATTTCAAGCATTGCGTTCAGTAGTGTTGCAACCGTCATTGTTAATCATGATGAGTAGTCACTAATATATTACACTTTCAAAAATTATCATCTTCATCTTCCATCGCCGCTTCTCCTTTCGGGTCGCGGAGGCAGACGCGTCAGACAGTGCTCCCAA